GGAAAATCCTGAGTGGGCCACTTCATGTAAAGGATAAAACTAATACGATGAGATGCAATATGTTGCCTTTGAACTTTGGCATTATGAACACAGGGTAGAAGGGTAGACCATTGATTTGAGTTAAACCGTAAGGGCTCACACTTTCGTCCGTGAAACTGATTGTGTTAAAAGTGACTGTGGTCGATATATGACCACGTTTCTTTTCCCTTTTCTCAAATTTGCCCGCGCTTGTGTTTTCAGGCACCCGTGGACCGAACTGTGTTTGAAAGTCTGAACCCTGGATAAAGTCCGATCAGATTGAATTTAGACCCACGGAATGAAGTTTGCATACACGGAGGGCATAGGCAGGTAAATGCATCCGATATCACTAGCCGTGCTTGTTGCTGAACATCCATGCACTCTGGCTCCAAATCGTCCAATTATCAAGTTAGGAGCGCGCAGCTGGCGAGTCAAGGCAGTATAGGGAGAAGGAATCGAAGAGCTCAAGTGCTGGCGCGAGATGTCAGATTGTTGTTCGGTTGCTTTCACGCCACATAATTGTGGACATTTTCAAGTGTTTCATCCGAGCAGGGGATTCGTAAGCAATGCATGCATGGAATACCGACTCGTAGACACTTTCTGAAGCTAAACCACTGAGTAATATATAAATAACAAGCCACACCTACAAGTCTCAAATCCTGGGGAACTTCACCATGAATAACGCGTAAAACGTTGTTCTCACATGGGCGCCATTCTGGTTGGACTACGACTGCGCAGTGCATGTTAATGCGCAGGCGCCGCGACAGGCACGCACACAATGAACGTTCACACTCGACTGGCGCCCATGGTGATAACACCTTGCAGGCGGAAAGAACAAGTCATTTGCTCCTTCAACCAAGATATCTTGACGTACTGTTCAGTCGTTCTTCAAAGTTAAATTTTATATATAACGGTTTTGCCCGTACCCAACGTAAAAAAAAAATACATCTTGAAAAAAGTTAAATTTGCCACAAACCTGAGTGTGCATAGCGTCAGTGGTATTCAGGTAACTGTTTGGTGACCCAAAGCCTACATGATAAGTGTAAAAATGTATATTATACTCTCTGCATCTTTGAGGTTGCAACGAGGAGTTCGTAAAACCAGACATTTATTTTCTCCAAAAATGCATTCTGCGCAGCCCCTTTTTCACGAAAGGAAAATTCTTTGAAACGATTGCTTAGAGAGAGGGTAAAAGGGGGGCTGTGGATGTAAACGTAACAGTGGTTTTTTGCCATGTGCGTTTCAGGTGGAATACTTCACGTCAAGCATTCAACCCTTGAAAAATGGCGCCCTCTGCACGCATACTGCTTTTCATCGTGTTCATTCTGGCGATTCATTTGACGGAACCAAGTAAGTAACCAGTCGTGACGTCATGCGTTATGACGTCTAGCATGACGTCACTAAATAATGAACAAGAAGAATGACTACGACAGTCTTGTGCCAGTTTCTTTGTCACTCGGCAAAAAAAGAAATCATCGCGACGTCGTCAAGAGCTCTCTCATGACGATGTATCTCAAATTTGACGCTTTTACACGTGTGCGATACCTCGTCTTTCACAGAACTTGACTTTTCTTTGACAGAGGATGGCTACAATGGGTTGGCAAAAGGAAAGCGTCGGTTCTCTTCACGCTCGCGAAGAACGTATACTTCCACTTACCGGAGTAGCGGTACTACATATTACAGCAGAGGTATGTAGTTTTGAAGTATACAGCTTAATGTCATAGGCAAGTGCACAGAATGGCTTTCAAGAAACCCTCCTTCGCGCTGTTAATTTTGCTAGCAGTGAATCCAGTGTGATAAACGTTTGGATTCCGGGGAATCGTATTAAAGCTTTTCCATTGATGAAAAGTTGTATACTTTTGGAGATAAGAACAAAAGGAACTCATCTTTTGATTTCTTTGCGACTTCCCCCCCCCCAAAAAAAAAATTCGACACGCCCGTTCTTCGTGAAATCGGTGGCAATTTGTATCCTAGCATGAATCATTCTTGTTTTGTAACATACTCTTAGGTGGTGGTAGCATGCCCTGGTGGCAGATCGTTCTCATCGTAGGAGGAACCATAGTACTCTTCCTCTTAATGTATTGCTGCTATCGGGCGTTAAAAGGACCCAGAGAGCCCCGGTCAGACACTCCCGGCATCCAGACCACGCGAGACCATGTCCAGCTCACGGATCACCAGCCTATCCAGCAGCCGTACCCCGCTGCCCAGTACCACCAGGTAAGCACGTCGGACGGCCGGGAGGTTCCGCCACCGGTCCACATGCACCAGAGCCCGGCCTATCCGCCGCCGTTACCGCAGCAGCAACAGCAGCCGCTGTACCCGCCGGCGATCGCGACGGCGCCTCCGCCCTCTTACGACGACGCGCTGGTGATTTCCAAGGAGCCAGTCGGCGAGGGCGCCCCCGACCGGTGGGAAGACGAACCCGAGATCAACAGGAAAGAATTCGGGGTTATTTGATCCAATTCAAAGGGACACACTTTAAAGGAACTGGAAATTATAACCTTCTTCAATTTTTAACAGTAGGAACCTACTTATCAATAGTGTGGAGTTTTTTTTCACCTTCCTCGCCAATGGAGTTTCGCACTTGCTCAGCCGTACTTGTCTAGAATCTGCATGTCATAATAATAGTGATTATCATGTTTTGTGAAATCATAGAACTTCGCCAGAACTTGCAGTGTACCATGTACAGCACCATTTTAAGCCTCGTTTTTCCCTTGTCTTTTTAACTGATGTTTAGACGTCCATTTGAATTGTGTGCACGTATCAATTAAAGTTGAGGACTGTTGGTTCCACTTTCTAGGATATTTCCTTTGCAGAATTGTTTATTGCCAAATTACAAGCCTTTTGGTCAGTACTGCTGTTTTCCTTTATTAATTAACGCATGATAACATTAAAGGTTGAAATAATTCCAAAGGTTGATATTGTAATTTTGTTCTCTTTTCAGGCTTCAATTTGTAATTAAGTTAAGCATGTGCTGGTATAAGGCCCAGACTTGAGTTCTGTTCATAACTCGGGTTATTGATTTATTACTTTTTATGAAATAAATCTGTTAATAGTTAAGCTCGCTGAGAACTCTTCGTTTTCTTTTAGTCTAGTTCCTTAAATGTTTTGTTTTGCTCCAGTAAAATTCCGGAACTCGAAGCTTACCTGAAGGATATCCGTGTCGGAGTGGACAACCTCAAAGTTGACGCCATTTTCCCACTAAACGGCTACAGTTCGCTTTAATTAAATAACGCACGCGGAAGTACCTGCATGCACGACCTCACCAGGAAAACAAATCAACAGATGAGAAGTCCGGATGAGTCCAGATGAGAAGTTATTACCGGTACCGGTAGTTATCCTTTCTGTCACCAGATCCAACACGAGTCAAATATCGTAGCAGCGTAAGGGACTTATTTCATGATTCGAAGGGAAAGAAAAAGTTTTCTGGAACCTGAGCAGCATTGGGTTCAGAGCTTGCTCTCTAATAATATTAATTTCGTTGCAAATTCGTTCCTGACCAACCAAACGGCAGTTTCACACGTGAACCAACGTCTCCGTAGTGCGTCACTTTGCTGCACAGTTAAACGTCGTTCGTTGGTGTCGACGTTTCGTGGTGACGCATTAAAAAAGTTGGACTTCTGTTAAAAGCGACTTCAATTGGAACTGTAAAGGATCACTGAACAAAATGGCCTTAGCTTGTGGTCTTCGCTTGGTCATTCTGCTTCTCTTCATCGCTATTGTCAATTTGCCGACAACAGGTGAGTTGAATGTCGTCACAATGTTGTGCTATGTTATTATACGATCGCAAAATTTCCACGAGAGCCATTTTGTCGATTTAAAAGCGTGTTTCGACAATTCTTCGGCTGTACATTCTGGGTAAAATGGACACATGTTTCAAATGCAGCACAGGAAATTCTCAGCATTGTTGTATATACATTTATTTTGCTACTCAGACGCTATAAGAATCAGAGTCCGCACGGGCTACAGAGGTACGCGCCGAACTTACACAAGAACAGTCTACACCAATTCACCCAATCAAGGTAAGGAAGCCGGTACAATCTTTAGCAGGGAGATGTTTTTACTATACCCAGCAAGAAATGAGACTGAGGGGTACCCCCAACATGTCCAATCCCTATACACATTCCAGACTATTGTTACTTAACACATCCCCCCCAAGATGTCTGAAAGGAATTCCCCAGATTCCTGCGAGACAATGACCAACACAAAGCAGGGGGGGGGTTATCTCCGTCTCATACCTTGCTGCATATGGTTTTTACAAGATGCACAGGTTAGCGGGCTCCAAGAATACTAACGATGTAGTTTATACTACTTATGACGGAAGGGGCCCGACGATCTCGTGCACACAGGAAAAATTACGCTTTAAAAATTGTTCAACAGAGCACTAAAAATTCCACTTAGATTAGAAACTAATATGGCAAAAACAATTTAATGGGATTTTCTGAAGAAAAACTGTACAACATTCAGTGAACAAACTTGAGACAAATTGATCATCGAAGTCGCACCCCTGTGCATTTTCAATGGCCCGCTCACACTTCTTGCCGCCAAGATCATTTGCGCGCATGCGTGCATAGTTATGAATGTTTAAGTGAAGAGGTCTGTTGTTCACCTGGACTTTTATCCTCTCGGTTTTCTTTTGAATCCTATCTGACAGGCCTTGAGGCGTGGAAGATAGCCCTCATTGTCTTCGTCAGCCTCCTTGGCATTGTAGTGCTTTATATCTGTGTCCGTTGCTGGCTGCTCTGTCGCGAGAGGCGGTCCGCTGAGATGGAAGTTCCGCGAGTGTCGATGAACCCAATCTACCGACCACATCCTCTGCAATTTCACAACGCGGATTCAGTGGACAAAGACGTGCTAACAGCGCCCCCACCGTCATACGAGGACACTCTCAAAGTCAATACGGGCGATGTTAACGGCATTAAGGTCGCTGACCAGTAGAATCATCCAAACCTACCGCGCTGAACATCTTAATTTTCGTTTGCTTAGATCTGCTGTGGGCAAGTGATTAGTTGGGGCAAGACCAATGAACTCGTTAGATATTGGCTTTTTAACGATGCAAAAAAAAGATATAAATAAAATCTTATGGTCATTCGCATTTTGCCGCTGGCTCTAACTCATACGGCGCAAGATTACCTTGTTAATAGCATCTCGTACATTTCCTGCCCCCCCTAATCAATCATAATGCGCTTAAAAAACCTTAAGCAGTCTTCAGTTGAATGAATGTGAGCGCAAATTTATTATGTTTATTGCTGATGTTGTTAAAATCGCAATAATGTCGACCACTTTATTTTGTTTGTCTGGATATTATGAGAAAAATACGCGATACTGGCGATTTATAACAGCGCGCCACCAAGAGGTTAACACAGAGAGACCATTTTTCAACCTTGCGGCCGACAAAAATCATGATCGAGATCGCTGCGACCATGCTGCGACTTACATTTGAGGTCAGACGACACCTTGAGGACATACTTGATTGGTCGGAGAATTCTTTGCCTCACCAAAAAAAATTAAAAACAGGTTTAAAATCATCTTGAATGATTAACACCGATACTCAAAAACCACTCTCGAATGTTCAACCCAGACAAGCATTACATAGGAACGATTCAAGTTTCCTGCGCTACTACACGCAGCGCAAATGGCAAGTAGGGTTTTGGTGACTGTTTTCCCACAATGCACTGCGAACAAGGCCTCTCTGTGGCACTTAACTTGCGGTCATCGCTTGCTAACGTTAATTAAATAAATAAATAAATAAATACATGCTGTACCGCATTTAGATAATGACTGATTATCTGAGAAACATAAACTGTGAGGGGAAGATGTGTACATAGTGTGAAACACATATGTTTACCCACTCTGTGAAAATAAGTCATAAGCCGCCACTTTTGAGCTTTCATTTGTACTGGAAAGAGCAAAATGAGTTTTTGTTTAGAGGTATCACTCAGTTTGGCATCCTGATGAAAGTGGATACTCCATGGTGACAAATGCTGTGGGTTCCTATTGGTTTACACTTTGCAAAATTATTCTAAAGGACTTTTTACTCCAAAATGGTTCTGGCGATTTAAGACTCGTTTTCATAGAGTGGGTCACATATTTTATACGCTTGTCTCCCATAGTATAATTTAATAAAGCGAAACTATAATGGTAGTATTTAGAGGAAGCATATTATTATTTAATGTTTTAATAAACGAGATCTTTGAACACTTGTGTATTATTCTGTGTGTTTTGTATACTTGTAGCGTTGTGACAACAAAATACGTACCGCACGACTCGACTAAAAGACTACACGCAATGCTTGAGCATGCTGCCACCGTACAACCAAAGATCGTATAGCGCCGCCTAGCGGCGCAAGATGGGGAACTTCACCATGAATACGCGTACAACGTTGTTATCACATGGGCACCATTCTGGTTGGACTACGACTGCGCAGTGCATGTTAATGCGCAGGTGCAGGCGCCGCGACAGGCACGCACACAATGAACGTTCACACTCGACTGGCGCCCATGGTGATAACACCTTTATGGCCGAATTACCCATCTTGCGCCGCTACGCGGCGCTATATAATCTTTGGTATAACTGCGCTACTTTCTACTTGTCAGAAAATTTAAAAGCAAAACAAAACAAAACGAAGAAGCAAACCAAACAAAAGACATGATTACCTTTTTGCCTGACGAATAATGGCTTGTCCTTCTCTTTCCACATTTTTATCAACTGTCGTTGAAGGACTGTTCATAAATAGAAAAAAAGTGGGTTGGTGCGGCTTATGAGCCTCGAGCTGGACTATCAGAGGGCGCAATTTTCTTAGCAACAGAGGCTCCTTCGGTCCGAACTGAACTTCGCTGGTTCACGAACGACAATGAAATGCACGCGTACCGTCGCGTCGCTACCACCCAAATGAACACTCCCGACCAGCATGGCTCTTTTCAACCGATGAGGGTGAGCTTCTGCTCGAGGCAGATAACCCAACGTGCATACTATGTTCCATCCTAGGTTTAGACACTTTGAGTAAATTATATAGCTATCCAGCTAGTTTGAAGACAGCCTGTTAAATTAAGCCATTAATTTTTTGTTCTCAAGTTGATTTTGCAAACTATACTGAGGTTCAAGAGTTAAACTCTTTTCGTTCTCTGACAGGATAAATTATATGGAGGTGTTTATTTTGTGGTTATAATGATGTGAACGTGTATAATTTTTTTTAATAATCTGTAAGTTTTTTATTCAAATGATACAGCGTTCAATAAAGTATTGAACGATGTTATGTTATTGAAGTGCACTGATGCTTATATCACAGCCGAACGTCAAAGGACTGTGGACAAGTTTATTAACGGGTGGCATAGACGCTTCAGAAGCCGGAAGGGAAATTTATTAAGGTGCTTTAGATATTTCCCACAGAAAATTACCCCTCCCCTAGTGTCATGGCACAGAGAGGTCCCTAGCTTGGATTCAGTCACGTACGTAATCACTGCTGTCCAGCCGTGTTGGGGGACCAAACAACAAGGCTAAAGCATGACTAACAGACAAACCTGTGCTCGTGACTGTATCGCCTAGCCTGGTGAACCAATCTATACCCTGAAGCAAATACGCGTCATAATAACTGTGAAGTTTGCAAACAAGTTTGGATTCCATGCTACAAATCCCAGTTTCCAAGACTGTCAAATATATCAAAAGAAAGGGCCGTGGAACTTTTTGTCCGCGACAGTGTTTAAAGAGTAAACGACGTCTAAAGGGGAAAACCTATTGAAATACATAATGTCGCCATGGTCATCCGATCGAAGGGATACTTGGTTTGAAGGGACGCCTTATTTCTAAAAGTGTTCCTCGGTTGAGATGAGGAAATTCATTGCTTCCTGAACTCTGGATTGTCTTCAATGGATTCTGAATTGGAACTATAGGAGACGAACAGGCCACTTTTTGAAGCCCTGAAATCAACACGACGAGGGAAGAACCATCGCGAGACATCTCAGCTATATCAACCCTCTCCCTTCCACACAGTTTCGCACGATTCCATTAGGAAGGTCTGCGCTCAGGTTAAGTTCAGGGGTAAGTAATTCACCCATCTTCTTAAAACTCAGGTTAATTAAAGTCCACACATCAGCTTTAAAGGACACGGAAGCGAACCACTGAAACAGGCACAATTGGTGTTGACTGCAGTTTAGGCGTGCGAAGACTAACTTGCATTTTTGTCTCTCAGATGGGTAAACTAACTTCTAACTTCTCTGAGATATGTTCTGATCGATACATTTGAATAGATTGGTGGTGACGTGCTTGAAGGTCTTAGTGATAACACGGTCGGGAAAGTAAGTTTTAATGATTTCGATGCAAATATGCTCTTCACACGAAGGGGTCTCTTGCAAACGCAAATGATTCTCAAATACTGTAATAAGAAATATTGGAAACTTCTGAGACCTCCATACCGTGACTCCTTTTTCTTTTGTTTCGGCAGCAACTTAAGAAGTTACACCGAGACCAACGACTGGGTGCAGACCAGGCGAATTCGGGAAAGGACGTTGTTTTGGCAACCGATGGCTTGGTCGCTCAACTGAAAATATGCCGTGGCATAGTATGTACAAAAGTCTTGAAGTTAGAGATACAAGTCCGCTCTGTGTGCCGGCTCTTCGACACACATAGTTATCTGGGAAGAGACAGACATGATCGATGTACGGACAAGGTTGTACGCATGTGTGATGTCTAATTTTGAAATGACGCATCGCCCTGAGCCACATGACCAGATATGACGTCATGGCGGGGCCAGCCTGTTATCCTACGCTTGTTATTCCCACAGCATTATTCATCCGCTCGGGCACCAGACAGGGCACACTTTTTTTAATCATTGAAATAAATTTATACACACTATTTTGGCTTAAGTTACCCAGTTGTGATACCTCCTATTATAACGTCGATCCCCGAACAAGGATTTTTTTCTGAGCTGTCGATGTATTAGGTAACTGTACAGAAATGACGAATGGTAGGTACTAATTTAGTCTTTCAAGTTACACATTCGGAGAAGTTAATCCTAGAAGTTGATATTCCTTGGTGTGTAAAATTTAGCTGATTTGTGAATTGGTTGGGGAGCCCGTTCTATCGCTAGAAGTCTAAGGTAAAAGTATTGATGATATTTGATATCGAGAGATATTGACAAATGGGAAGAGCTACCAACATAGGGTTGGGTGGCTCAGTTGGTAGAGCACTGGTACGGTATTCCAGAGGCCGCAGGTTCGAATCCCGCTACAGTCAATTTCTCTGTTTATCTTTATAATCATTCATAAGCACCTAGTCATATGATTTGTTTCATGATTGATATTTCTGATCGTAAATTGAGTTCACTGATGATCTGATGATATTTCTAACGCTGTTTCTCCACAGATTTATCCGAGTTTATTCCTTGGATTCTTGCCATCTTCTTCGTTCTGTTCCTGATCGCTTGCTGCTCGTGGCTTTACAGATGCATCCAGAAATGTGACGATCAGTGCCCGGGAATTCTGCCGGCGCGGAGCCCTTACAACCCAAACTCTCCTATGACACCGTTCCGGAACACTCGGCACACGCGTAATTGGGAGGCCACCAGGAGGTTGACCTGCCAGCGCGCCACCAACGACAACAGCGAGCCATCCGGGAGCCAGTGTATCCTATCATCGTCCTCGGTAGTTCATTACCACGGGCAGAAGGTGCCCCCGTACGTGTCTTTCGCTGACAGGCCGCCGCCGCCGTCGTACGAGGAAGCTTGTAGCTCGACAGCGGCCTTAAGCAGTTCGACGACCGCCTTAAACATGGAGAGCCCTGAACAGTCTGTGGCTATCATCGATACCACCAGTGCGAACGAGACCGAGGCCACGCCGGCAGCGACAGTATCGGACAGCGTCGAAGTAATGGATTGCAACACGGCAGCAGTATCGACTCCCACCAATACTGGTCGCGGCGACCGACCACAAGACCACGGGGCCAGTGAGTCAGTAGTCATTGACAACCCTCAGGATGAGCCACTAATAAATGACGATGACGACGATGACGATGAGTTCTATGATGTTGTCATCGATGCCACACCACATGTCCAAGCAACAAGTGAGGAAATGACGAGGAGGGGAAGCACGGATGTTTTCCTCTAACCTTCGAATGAATGATTTGAGGCAATGAGGCATAAACAACATTTTCAGTGACTGACGGTCATTGTCAAAGAGAACGGGGAAATAATTATGCCTGCATGTTATTTATAGACTTGTAGGAATAACGCATAGCTAAATCAGACCCCCCAAAGAAGAGAAGCTCACAAAGCTGTGACATCGTGTAACTTTCTACCAACATATTCCTGAAAGCTGTACACTGGTCTTGGCACTGATGTCTTTATTTGTATTTTCCAATGCCAATCAGCATGGGAACATTTACGCAGAGTTTTTTCCTCGAGTAATTCAAGCGGCGACCTGATACGAATGCCCAACAACATGTTACTGTACGGGCAGGGAAAATTCTCTTCTGACCAATTGGAGCGGGCGACAGACCTTTCAACTCTTTGTCCAATCAGAAGCTTCGTTTCTTCAACAAGTAATGCAATCACCGCGTGCCAATTTCTCTCTGTACATTGTTTCAGTGACAATGATGGAGGTACATCTGACGTATAGTATACCCTAGAAACTGAATCTGAGAAAACCTGAACCCCCTAACATCACTTGCAAGAACGATCGTGAGAAGAATCTGTGTCCTAATATCGGAGATATTATTATCGTAAATCCATTAAACCATCCTTGTGTTTAAAATTTAAACCAGTTTAAAACTCGAGCCGTGTGTCAATACACAACGAGGAAAAATAAACATCCCACGTTTGATAATGCAAACACAAGATAAACTTGACCAAGTCTGTGGGATCGACATCGACAGGGAAACATATCTCTCGCCAATCCTTCGACAAACCTTGAAAGTTGTTTCAAATTTGAGGCATAGGAGCTTCAAATCTGAAACCTGCCCAATCATCAGGTGCAGATTGGGCTAACTCTATTTCAGTTTTGCGTCGGTGACTAAACGGAAATGTATTGCAGCGGTGTATTTCCTGCGTGATAAGGCATGGATAGAAATAGGTCTTTGAAGTCGTGTCATAAACTCGCCCAGTCGGTTGTGCAGTTTATTTTGGCGCAACGTGGTATCCATTTGAAAATAAAATGGTAACAAAATTATCTGACGTTTGAGGAAAGTTTTCAGGTATTTTATATACCGGTATAGCAAGCTTTGTGCTCAAAGATTTGATTTTTGCTGTGACGTCACCGTCATCGCCATACATCTCGGCAGAGATTTTCAGTCGCAAACATGAACTATCGCAATACCCTGCAAGTCTATTGCGCATGCGCATAAGATTCCGCGCTTAATGATATGACAACCGACAGAAAATACAGTGGGTTTGTCAGTGTGTCTTTGCAAAGGCAAGCTCCGGTAATAGAATTTACAAAGATTGTCAAAGAAGACTAGGATAATTTGAATTAGTGCTTAACTTTTAAGCCGCAAATACATGTAAAATGTAAGGACACAAAGTGAGGGATATCGCAGGCTTGCACAGAGAGCCGTTGTCGTTTACCACGCATGAGCAAGCACTTCTGTTTGATTGTCAGGCGTATTTTGTTGTCCCTCCTAAAAAAAGGTCATCCGAACAAGTTGTGTAAGCGAACCACCCGGAAACAAGGCAGCTACATAACTATGGCCTTTAGTGGGGCCTATGCAAAGGCCATTTCTGCAAAATCACTGGTGTCACTGTCTGTCGTGTGTTGCCGCGCACAGTCAGGTTATCTGCAAGAAGGTCGCGCCTATGTACGTTTCCGTAACAAAGACCTTCATGACAATGCGAAAGTGAAGCTGGGTTGAGCACAGAGCGAGGCAAGAGTAGTTGGAAGAAAAAGGCTCGAGAACTTCAGCCATGGAGTCGGTAACTCTGAAGAGGGGGATCCTGTTGGTTCTCGTGCTGTGTATTTGTCTGCTAATGCACGTTCCAACGGCAGATGCACGTAAGTTTCATGCTTCAGTCTCTTCCTGGTGAACGGGAGAAATGGCGCGGTGCCGATGAAACCAGCCCCGCAAGTTTGAAGCATAAGCTAGGCCGCTGTTAGAGAGAGATCCATACACCGACAACATTAATTTTTGCATTAAAATGTTAAAACATAAAGAACTGAGTGAATCAAGAATAAATTGTCCAGGATAAGATATTTTTTCCTGGGCTGAGTAACCCTTTTTTATACATTGAAGCATGTATGTTAAGATCTGCCAAAGGAGTATCCGTGTATTTGACCCGTACAATCAGACGTTTCCATGTTTCATTAAAAGAACCTATTTCATTTTGTGTGTGTGAGTTAAAATCCATTTTGAAGCTCAAGGGTTGTCAGTGGGCGTCTTGTTTAAATGAGATTGGAGGATTTTCAAACAAACACTTGAATGGCTACGCCAGTGGTATGCTTAAGAGATTGAAAAAATTACAGCACTCAGCCGGACTGCTGTTCAGGAAAATGAGGTCCACCGCTTCTCTTGAGTTATTTTTGGCATTTCCTCTCTCAGGTCAGCCTTTGCTCTTTTTTACGCAATTCAAAATACATGTAGGCTATGTTAAAAAAAAACCATGCTTTGAAATGATGTCGTATATGAAAATAGCAGATAATGAATCGATACCCATACGAAATGGCAATTTAGGATGGGTACAAAATCAGTTTTGCCGATCCATTTTTAAGCTAAGCACAATCCTTTCTTTCCCCATAGGTAGACGTAGATCCCCGCATAGGTCCACAAACAACAACTCGGGACGTCCCGCGGCATCACCAGGTATGACGAACAGTTTCGAAAGACGTCTATAATTCTTTTTGGCGCAAAGTCATGCTCTTGACTCATACGTCATGATGTACCGAGTTCAGTTAGAAACGTATTTGCCCATCCCCTCGGAAGTGAAGGGGGATATAGTCTTGCATCAAGTCTGTTCTCGCGGATCATACAATTCAACATAGTTATGTGAAACAATATTGTAGTACTTTCAAACTTGACTTTAATTGGCTGTTTGCTGATCACCCTCATTCCAGAGCTTTTGTAGCTTTAGATGTTCTGTTCATCTTCGGTTTGAAATCCTATTTATCTGTTTAAAGGGTTCACACACTACTTCGTGATAGTCATAAGCGTACTGGGCGGCATCTTGGTTCTCCTGTGCGCCTTTATCAACAGTCTGCGCTGCCTGCAGTACTTGCTGAGCCGGCGCAACGAGAAACACTCTGTACGACGGAGAACCAGGAGCGTAGAGAGAAACCAGCGGGAGGGGAACCCTGGAGACGATATCGACCAATCGCAGCTGTACCCGCCGCCAACCTATGCCGAGATCGTCGGGGAGGCAATAGCGCCCCCACCGGCCTACTCCTCCTTACACGTAGGGGATGCTGGCTGGGAAAGTCTGCCCCCAACGAGCGATGCCGCACACACAGAGGAGCACCCCGTCTAGTTATTTCAATCAAAAATCTGCGCCGCATTTGTAATCGGTGTACACAGACATCACTTTTGAATATCAACACCAACAAGAAAGAATGCATCGTATGATGTAAAGCTTAGCGACTACGGAGATAATGTGCCTTTTTTTCAATATAACGCTTACTCAATGCAATGCACTTATAAAAAATATTTTTTTTATTTTTATAGAGAAGAATCTAAGGTACTTTTCAAATACATGTACATGTATATGTATATAGTAAATTTTATAGAACGTGCTTTGTCGGTGCAAATTGCTCCCAAAGTGACGCTCTTGAAGACATTGACTTTTCGTTGTTAAAAGGGTACTGTTGAGTGGACCAAAACATGGTCCGTTGGCTTGTTCTTTGTAGCTTTTCTGGGGTTGCTAGAAATATTTCCGAAGTAGGAATCGCGCAAAGGTCGTAACAGTTAAAATCTTGTTTATCTCGATAACGTGTTGCCATTAACTTGTGAAAATCTATACTGTAATTCGACAACCAGAATTAGAAGCCATTACTGCGGTGGTGCACTGCTCCTGGACAGGTGGTGCACGCGCGTTCCACGCCTCTTTGATTAATAGGATGTCGTGATTTGCTAAATGCACGCTCACCTCAAGCTGAAACATGTGCGTGTGAGTGCGGTGCCACCGCAGTTATGACGTCGAATCAGATTAGCCCATATGTAGTTACGGTGTACAACTCTAAAACGTGTACAAAGTTCTGTGAATTCACAGATTGTAATGTAAGTAATGAGGGTGGTTTGGATGGGGTGGGTGCCGTGGTTGATTCTTGGGCTGGAGTGGAAATTCGGGGTGTAATGAATAATTCATTCGCTTATAACCACCCCAAAAACACAGTGGGCTGCCCAGCGGGGGATTTTTTTAGGGAACTGAAAGCGGCACATCTTCAGAAAGGGGCTACTACCTTCCGGGGGTTGGGTAATGAGGATTCATTTACTAATAAAAACAGTGGAACAAATCATTTTAGAAAAAAATTCCATTTCGCCTCCATGGTCCCCAAACTTGCATGGATACGACTACCTGAACGACCGTTTACTGTGCGAACGTCCATATCGGGGAGTGATATGAAAGAATAGGTGAAGAAAATGTAATTTTGTGTTAATGTTCTTGTGATTTTGTATGATATTAAAGATAACGATTTCTTACGTTGACTCCTTCAAAGGGTTGTGTATCATGTCATTGTAGTCCATGCTAGTGGGACGACGAACAAGTAATGTTTCTTCCCCGCCAGGGAAAATTCAAATGTCAGTTTGGTTGTTCACTTGGTTTTGTCAATGGAATTATTGGGTGCGTTCGATTAACTTCCCTGAATACACCAGTGTTACACCAAGGGAAGCCTCGAAATGAGGCTTATCGAAGGCATGCTGGGAAAAAGGTCAAGTCCCTGCCACGTTCGTTCTTTGATGTCCATGCTCGAACGGTCCATCAGTGATGTCATCACACTCGGGCAGCCTCCAGAGACCCGCTCGCCAGTGGGGTAGTGGTGGCTGACACCATGCACCAGGCCCTGGGGCAGGCATAAAGATCACGTGATGGCTAAACCAACGCTCTCGTGTAAGTTTGACCTACACGTGTAACCTAATCGAACGCACCCATAGTGTTCCAAATGACATGACATGACATTACATTACATTTACTTCCTCCTCATGGCAAAATACGCAGGTACTAACAACGTATGAGATAAAAAGGCCAATAGAGGTGGCAAAAACCATATTATAAAATGCAAAGCTTGTGTCAGGCATGCCATTACAAGAAACAAACAAGAGAATACAAAAGACACAACAAAATACAAACAGAGAAAACATTACATGTACAAAATGAGCATCAAATAAAAATAGTGATAAATGAAAGTGCTACGGGAAGGGGTTACACTTAATCACACATCAAACTAGGACCCTGGAGAATAGGATGCATGAAATCTATTGCATAAGATACAATATAAGTTTCTGCTTAAAAGCTTTATAAGACCTTAAACATCGGAGAGAAATCGGTAAGCTCTTCCATAGTTTAGGACTGGAATATTTGACAGTGTTTCGAAAAGTGGATTTTCTATGTTGAGGTACATGGGAAGTGTAGGCCAGTGGACGCGCGAGTATTATAGCATATGTACCCGTAAACGTATCTTAGTTGGCACTCGGAAATAAATTGTTCAAAAACTTGTGCATAAATAATTCTTGTTGATATCTATTCAAATTTATGACGCTTAAGTACTTTAGTTCACGTAAGAGCAGTTGACTGTGAGCATTATAGGGAGATGCATGCAAATGCAAATGCTACATGGGATGGGGTTGTTTTCTCAGGCTGGGCACTGGAGCGTCCGTCTAGTGACCATGGCAATATGCCAATGTACTGATGACGTAAATCTTTGTTTGCAGGTGCACCTTATTATGGAGGGGGGCCCGTGGTCTACTGAGCACCTCAGGAAAGCCACACACCGTAAACAAAACTCCAAATGCAATGCCAGCCGTTGTCAGCGGACAGAGAGCATGACGAATGACGCCTCCGGCGCTTTTCACTTCGCCCGTTCACCACCTCGCCCATCTCTGCTATTTCGCCCACGCGAACGCACAGCTGTGCTCTGTCAACACGGGCGATTCACAATAGTGCGCCTCCAAGAGTTAGATTTCCCGTTTAGAGCATGGTTATTCACGAAAAAAAATTCTTAATAGTCATTTTTATCGTAATTTCTGTCTCACTCCGGCCTATTTTTTCCAGTTCATTTTGAATCATATAAAAAATAACGTCTAAATAACCGCTAATTCAACGATCTAAACGATAAATTTACAAACGAAATTGAATAAATAAATCGGTAAAATGATGCAACTTTGGTTTGTACACAAAAAATCCTGCTTTTGGTGATTTATACACGTTCGTAGGTATAACAAGCGAACAATCAAACCTTTCTAAAAAAAATATCAAACCTTTCTAAAAAAGTATTCAGTGAATAAATTCTTCATTCTTAATTCAGTGAATAAATTCTTTATTCACAGATCACTGAACTTTATCTTCCTTCGATGACCTCACAACAGCGCCCTCGGATGTCCAGGAAAGCGTGGATAATGTTTAAAAAGTGCAATTTTTTTCAATGCGTTTGACAGAATAGGAAAGAAACTAATTTTCATTCATTGTAGAAGAGTATACTGTTGAAGAAAAAATGTATCTAAGAAAAGTTCATTGCAACTACACTTTAACAAATCTTTGGAATCGATTAATGATGAGCGTAGTGCAAAGTTGTGGGCGCTCGTAGTTAGCAGAGCGTACGTGTCGATGGAGGCCTCCATTGATGGGATCAATTTGCTATCTGATGCAGTTAGGGTGCCAGTCTACTCGATTCAGCGCCGTGGCTAGGCAAGGGCCGGGCGCGCGTGAAGTTTGACGGTAGACCTACACATTACCATTCATGCATGTACACGTGGACAGTGCATAATGCCAGTTGTGGTTTGGCCGAGGGTCACGTCAGTTGAGAACTTGAGTCGTTTGTTGGTGAATTTTGTGAGTTACATCTTGCTGTAAGTGTAAGTCAAAGATCCGGTGTATTATTTGAACTTTATTGAAATATGCCCGTGGACAGGTGGATAACTCAGTCTTACTCCTAGTTGTTTTTCATTTAGAATGTTGCTTGGGTTTTTCGATCGCCATTTTTGGGTGTAGGAAACCATGGAGGAATAAAACACACCTCCATGAACGTGAAGTAGGCTAGGCCTGATATGAGAAGGATTTTGACGTACTAACAATGCCTAATCTGACGTCAGTGAGCAATGTCATGAATGCGGGACTCTGGCCAAGCAACTCCTACTCCTTTTTTTGCTACTTCCGTGATTTGAATTATTAAACCAACATGACCAATAATATATCTGGTCCCCCCCAGAACTGTGGGGTCCGACGTCGGTCCCCACAGTTCTGGGGCCCTGGGGGTAGGCCTACACATAGTATGTGACCAAGAGATAAGAGTTGCATAGGCCTAAGCCTGTACGGATATCACTAGTTTCCCATAGTTTCAGTCATGTCAGTGGTTTACTACCCATCAGAACGTGATAACATTGTTAGAAAAAGCCCATTTATCAGTGGAAAAATGAACACATCACTTGAGAAAACACCACCACCAGTCTTATAGTTTTGTACACATATGCTATGGGGTTTGTGCTAACTGTGAAGCACAGGGTGTCAAGTGATGTCCGTGTGCTCTAGGCCTTATTGCTGATACTGCATGAGTTACTTTGCGCGATTGTGAAAAAGGCATCATGAGAAGGAAAACCGCTGAACAGAGCAAACATTGCCCCCTTTTCCTTCCCACAATGCCTTTCTACCATTGTGCCAAATCACCCACGTGGTATCAGCAATAAAGGCTTATGGCACTGTATGGAACTTTATCCCATTTTTTTGGGGGGGGGAGCACCTAGCCCCACTAGTGTGGCACGGATCACTCCCGAAATCGGGAGTGATCCGTGCCACACTAGTGGGGCTAGGGAACACCTAGCCTGTCAATGTGTTTTTCATTGTCAGAATGTTGATATGCATATGCAGGAAATTAGCAAGGTGCCCCAGACCTCTGTCCTTCATTGTCCGCCACAGTTCTGGGGATACTTTGGAGTCAGAGGAATGGGTTTAGAAAATAAAATTATATGCCCAGTGTCTGTCACTTCTCCCTTTAACGCTTTGCCCATAACCATGTTGGAATTAACGTAAGGGCCATTTTGTCATGTTCCACAATTGGCACCCCGCCCATTTGCCACTTTTCCCACCCACTGCTAGAGGAGTTCTGGGCGAACCTTGGTATTTCTTTTTTTAGTACATCGTCCAATTATTGAATGCTGGAAAAACTCCTCAGCCTCTATTTGAACCCTGATTCATGACATGTACAGTTCAGCCTGCGAGTGGCTTATGGTACTGAGAGAAAACTCAACAGCCCTCTGTGAAAAATACACTTTGATATAAAAAAGCCACAAAAATGGCCGCCTACCTCATGAAAAAACAAAGATGAAAAACTGATTGGTTACCAGGCTTCATCATTGTCATCAATTGTTAAGAGTTGAACAGTTCCACCTAAAAACAACACCCGCCTTGATGACCTTGATAGATACTAGGTTTGTGAACTGTTTACAGAGATTGGTGTGCACCGGTTCCCTTGGCACATTGGAATACATAGATTGGGAACTGGTGAGTGGCATGGATTCAGTGGTTTGTGGTTTGGAATGACCAAGATTTTATTTTGTTACACATACATCAGAGATCATAGAAATAGCCTAAAGTGGCTTTAGTCTTTTAATGGGATTTTGCAAGATAAACGTATGCAGTAGGAATAATCAAGGATTCTGCAAAACTTCCGTATTTAATTCACTAATTCACCTGGTACGTTAGGTTTCTGTGATGAACGTACATGTAATGCCACGTGGCCACAGATATTACGAGTACATAGGCACTTAGTAATGGTGTCTGACTGGTAAACACAGGGACAACAGGTGTCCAGGACAAAGCAGGAAACAGTTGTGTGTTCATCCCCTTTGAGGATGAACAGATGGTTTACACGTGGCCGTCACATTGTCCCAAACAGGGTACCGATGAATCCACATCATTGGTTTTTTGCAATTAAATTATAAAAACCAGTGCTGTCTGGGCTGTGTTGAATAATTGGGTTGAACTGTAATCAATTTCATTCTGTTATTGCTGACCGATTGCAAATGCTGCATGTTTAGAATGAAAACACTACCCCCTCTCCCGGTGTAAATTGTACAGTGGCCCATAAAATCTCCCTATATTCTGTTGGTTGTTCAAATTGAATTGGTCATGACTGACGTAGACTACTTGCCATTTTTTTTCGAGCTGTCGCACATAAGTTTGAGGTTCTTTTTTTCCTCCCTAGAATCCATGCTGTTGTGTGCTTAAGAATTTTATTGATTAGACTACCAACGGAAGAGTGGCTTTCAAATTTTGAGCAAACATGTGACAAGTGTACTTTGTGAATCCATTTGCCTTCATATTATCGATGTCTGCCTCCACTATTGAGGAATTGTTTTGTTGGCCACGCATGCATCAAATAGATATTTTCTGGGAGAGCTTGGGGGAAGGGTGGATTCATCACTGTATCGACCATTCAAGGCCTGTCATGGTACATATACATGTATATGACGAGTCGACAGAAGTGATCTTTACCAGTTGGGTGGGGCGTCTGCATTGCTTTCATCCCGTTTTGACACATTGTTGGCCTTAGAGGCATTGTTGCTGAACCTGATAGCATAGAGGGTACAGATCAGATGATGTAGCATGTGTTTTTTCTCTGTTAAATCTGTGTTCCGTTGGATACAGATTTGGGCTTTTATTTTTTGAAGGGTGAAATTTGAAACATGCTTCTGGTTGTGGTGTTGACACCTCCAACGTTTGCAGCCTTTTCGTTGGGAAAAATTGTTTCCTCCCAGGAAATGGCCATGGCTGTTGCCGAGGAGAAAAAATGGAAAGGTTGAAGTCTGTGCTTGCGGCTCAAAGCTGCGTAGGTCATTTTGAGAAGGATGGCATCACATTCTGTGACGACAGAACTTATCAGTGCTTTGTTCCAGGAGGTTTTTTTGGGGGATTGTCTTTGTTCGAAAGTTTGCTTTACGTCTTTTTTTTTTCAATCTTCATTTCATTTCAGGGTATCTAAGTTGAGTTTCAGCCATTCCAGTGTTCGACCAGCGAAGTGCTGAGTGCAGTGTAGATCATACCAGTCATTGTAACAAAAGAAGACATAGTGAGGCAACAAGATGGCGGACGGCACCAGCTACGTGTTGGTAACAGGAGGAGCGGGCTACATCGGTAGCCACACCGTCTTAGAGTTGCTGAAGGAAGGCTACAGCATCATCGTTTTGGATAATCTATCAAATGCTGCAAAAGGTAAGCAGGTTATAATGATGGCTCTCTCTTTGAAATGCCTACTCTGGTGACTTTTCCCGAAATAGCTTCCTGTATAGCATTCCATTCCAATAGCATTTTTGTGAAGACACCTGAAAGGCTTAACTCACCCGAGAAGTCATGGCATCTTCGGTTAGCATTTCAGAAGATGGCTTCTTCAAATTTGCCGCATCCAGTTCCCCACTTTTGGACTCACGAAACTGCGGTTTTCACAAGTTTAGGGTAATAAAAGAAAATACATGGCATTCAGTGGCAAGCTTTGTGGACATGGGAACATGGTTTCATTGGCTAGCACACCAACTTTTTCTGCGAAAAATTCAAGACACAAACTCGGTGTTTTGGGAGTTGGTTATTTAGTATACCACAAATGAGAAATGACATGATAAAAGGAGGAGATGCAAGAAGATGTTACATTTCATTAACCACCGTTGACCTTTGGCTCCCGCGACAGGTGTAAACAGCATCCCGGAAAGCCTCAGCAGAGTCAGAAATATAGTGGGCGGGGAGATAAAGCTGGTGTTTTACGAGGTGGACATGCTCAACGTGGAGGAACTGAGGAACATTTTCAAGAAGGTGAGGGATCGTGATTCGCCGGTGGCCCTCGCCCGAAATTCTGTTCACCTTTGGCATTCACTACGGAGGGCGGTATTGTGCAATTGAATGTGTCCCTTGCCACCAAATTCACTATGATCCTGAAGAAGCACTCATTTTAGCACAAATGCCGTAGAGAATGAAAATCAGCAGGAGTTGCGTCCGTTTCGACTTATGTTCGTCACCTTTATTTCTCACAGAGTAGATGTTCAGTTTATCTTCTCATGCTTTTTTAAAATTGGTCTTTTCTTTCCTTGTAACAGCACAAGATCCAATCTGTGATTCACTTAGCAGCCAAGAAGGCCGTGGGCGAATCCGTGGAGAAACCACTCTTATACTACAGTGTCAACGTCACTGGGACGTTGAACCTCCTCAACGTGAGTTTGGAGGCAGGGACATTTGCCTTCTAGGAGACAAAATCTCAGTCTTTGTTTTTGCTCAAATTCTAAACAGGTTATATTATTCATTCGGATTTTTTTTCTGTATTGGAAAGGCCTAATTTTTTTTTATCTTGTGAATGTTAGCCCCAGTGCTTGGAACTTAAATGTGACCCTTTTGTAGAAAGAATTTTCTTGTAAGGCTGTTGACCAAACTTCGTGGGGTCAATCTAACTCTGACCTCACTGACCTCACCCTTACTCTGACCCTAATCCCTCCAGTATTTGAAAGTTAGATTTGGTCCTTTTGCCGAAAGAATCGTGGAGGTTCTTTGAAAATCCTCAAGCAAGATGCTAGTTGTTGATTCTGTACTGGGTGAAAAAAACCCATTCAAACAAAAAATATCCACATGGAACCGGCGCACCAATCAGTTGATGTTTCCCCCTCGGCGCATAGGTCATGAAGGAGTTTAAGGTCAGGAACATGGCCTTCTCCAGCTCAGCCACGGTTTATGGCACCCCCCGGAAGCTGCCCATCGACGAGTTGGAGCCCACAGGCAACATCACCAACCCCTACGGCCGCTCCAAGTTCATCGTGGAGATGATCCTGAAAGATCTGTACCAGTCGACAGAGGTGAGCGGGCTAGAGACGATGAGTTTGTGCCTTTTTGGCCGTACTTATCTGAATTTTTTTTCAAGTGGAGTGGATTAGAAGGAAATGGGTTTTTTAACCTGCGTGAATCCACTTTTGAAAAACAGGTTAGTCGGTTGTTGTTGCGGGTTAGCTAGCTGAGATTCTCTGGTGGACGTGTTTACGATTGAGACGAGACAGGAAGGCACTGAACTAGCCTTTCATCACAGAGATTGCAGGAGTAGATGGGATTTTACTTTCTTTAGCCGCTGGGTCCCTCCTAGCAGTTTGATTGGCAAAAGTCAACAGGTGCCGTCCTTGATTCACTGAGTAGCAACAGTTCAAGAAATATTGCAGAGTATTCAGGTGTTATTCTGCAAGATTTTCTTGCGGAAAGAGAAACTTGGCCAGGGATTTGGCATAGACTCTGCAGCTCCTGCCCTATTTGGTATTTTTAAACTCATCTGCATCACTTATGTTTTGTTTTTTCTCCCTGAATCTATTTTGAACCAAATGAAAACAGTGAGGAACAAAGGATTGGGATCCAAAAATTTCCTTGTTAGAAGCAGCAGGTTGTATTAATAGTGCTCTGCTTAACGAGGTCCGACTGTACACAAAGGCATGGTTTTTTGTTTTGTTTTTTGAATATCAAGGACTGGAATATTATCCTGCTGCGCTACTTCAACCCCATCGGGGCCCACGAATCAGGCCAGATCGGCGAAGATCCCAGTGGTCCGCCCAACAACCTGATGCCGTACGCCACGCAGGTCGCCGTGGGCAAGAGGGAGGAGTTGAAGGTGTTTGGGAATGACTACGACACGCCAGATGGCACAGGTACGGTCAGTCACGAGTGCTAGGGGTCAGAGGGGGCACTAGATGAAGGGTGGCCCCCTATATGGAGTCCAGGTACTGAACTGCCTCTGTACTCTGAGCCCCACACTCACGTGCGGTTAAAACAGTGGTCTGACGTTGACCAAATTCATTTTGCAATTTCTGTTCATTTTTGGTCCCATTGGAATCACTGATATATTTGCTACTTGACACATTGGTTGACACATTTTCCAACACTGGGAACACGATGGACATTTTTTGCTTCTTTAAGCTCCTATAAGATGTGTAAAAATGAACCGTTCAGCGAAAATATCCAATTGTCCTGTCTCGGTAATGAGGGGCAGTGAAAACGTGTCACACAGCAGCCAGTGCTTCCCTCGGCGTTAAGAAGGCAATGGTGTTTCCAACTGGGACAAAAAAAAAATGAACACATTTGGAAAATAAATGTGATCGACGTCTGACCACTCTTTATCACACGGAGGCAGTCCAGCACTGGGCCAAATATATGGGGCTAGACGCAGGGATTCAGGTCACGTTTGGGGAAAAGGGTTTCCTTGTTCGCGTTCAAATGCGACGTTGTCTGTCTTTTTATCCCTCTAAATTACTGGCTCTCTGTATTTGTCATGACCGAAGTCACTAAATTTCTCTCCCAGGTGTCCGTGATTACATCCACGTGGTAGACCTCGCTATCGGCCACGTGGCGGCAATCAAGAAGCTGGAGGAGAATTGCGGCTTGAAGGTCTACAACCTCGGAACCGGGACCGGCTACTCGGTGTTTGACATTATCAAAGGGCTGGAGAAGGCTGCAGGGAGGAAGGTTGGTTCCTCTGCATATGGTTTTTGTATTCTTGTGTGCTGAGTGCAGCCGGTGAATAAGACCAGAAAAATACCTGCACAGTGCATAGCTGTTGGGTGTTACTGGTCGATGATTGGCTTAGAGTTTACTCACCTAAATCGAAACTAATCCTAAGCGATCTAAACAGACTCGACGTCACCGAGTCCGATTCTCCCCCCCTCCTCCCAACTCCACCTATAAAACCAACTCAACCCAACAGCCTGACTGGATTGCACCTGACCGGACTTGACCCCCGCTGACCTCATATGACCCCACCCGACTCCACCTGATCCAACTCGACCCCAACAGCGAGGCTGGCACCACTGGACCTAACCTCTATCCACCCAACCTGATTTGACATCACCCAACTCCGCCCAATCCAACTCGACCCCAACAACCCGGCCAACACCCCTCCAGATCTGAACTCGACCCAACCCAACCCAACCCAACCCAACCCAGTTTAGACCACTCACATTATTAAATGATATAATTTTCCCGGTCAGTTCGAGTGACCACCCCCACAATGATTTTTATCACTGACAACAGATCAATTACAGTATCGTTGGCCGTCGGGAAGGTGATGTGGCATCTGTGTACGCAGATTCAAGCCTGGCCGAAAAAGAACTTGGATGGAAGGCCGTCAGAGGCCTGGACAAAATGTGTAAGTTGTCACTTATTGTCCAGAACTCCCAAGGGATTTGAGATTTGGGAAAGTGCCAAACATTTTATTTGTACATGTATTCCTTAGTAGCAGCTTATTTTGATGGTCGAGTTTCTTGGTGGTTTTCATGTGCAGGCGAGGACCACTGGCGTTGGCAGTCTCAGAATCCCAATGGCTATACATTGTGATGGCCCGCTGACCAACGGAAGTCTTGGTGCCAGACATTCTGCCATTTCATTCTGAGAGTGGACTGATAAGGTGCCGACAGATATTCCCAGAGTTTGTCTTCTTTTCATCTTGATGAGTTTTGTGAAAAGGTTTATTACATCTGTATTTTTTATTTATATAAATAATAATTTACCGCTATTGGGTCATTAGGGAGGCATTCCCGTAAGAACGTTCACAAAATTTTTCCAACTTTATTGCCCCATAATTCAATATTCCCTAATCTGATCTGAACCAAACTTTGTATGTTTTCATTTTAGGCCCTAAACTATCATCTCTCAAAATTTGGTCAGTAAATTCGGCCTCCTTCTGGTAGTTTGAAAATAAGGAGACACTGAAATGTGTCCCTCAAAGCCAGTGTCTCCCTAATGCTGAAAAATTTACCACCAAATGTCTCCCAAATGACATATTTGTAAATATATGTGTGTGAATAGTTACTTATATAAAAAAGTAAATTGACTGATGCGATGCCGATGTTCGCATGCCACATTCTTCAAATTCTTCAACATTCCTATGTGGAATGATAATGTAAGCCGAGCGTTTCACCAGCTGAGTTCTGAGGTCTTGGCTCAAATGAGAAATTTTTTCCAACCTTTTTTTTGTTGTTGTTTCAGAACAGTGCACAACCAACCAGAAACTGAAATTTGGTACACAGACGTGAAATACGAGTTTGAATGGTATACAAACATCGGGTGTTGAATTATACAAAGTTAGATGGTTGTTGTTTTTTTTTTGGGAGGGGGGATGAGCCAGATTTTCAGGCTGTTGTCAAGGCCACTGGAGGCCTACTTGAAGTCATCCAGTGGCTAGTCACAAGCATTTCAACTGTGACAAAGCTGCTCTTGTGTCGTGGCTCGCTCCCTTTTGACTTATTGACTTGTGTTGCAACTTTGGTTTTCATGATTAACCCCTTTACGGGGGATTATTTTGACCTCTGACTGCTGGGCTGTGGTATGCCCTGAGTGGAGGGCTTTGTCCAGCAGCAGGCCCCATTGAACCAGCAGCTGCATGGTGAATAGACCGTATGTGTGGTATGCACTAATCCTCACACAATGGTGCTGTAGTAGCAGTCCTCTGTAGCAGAGGGGTTAATTAACAACACTCAGGAACGCAAATCTTTCTGGAATTGAAGTTGGACACAAGACCGAGCTTTTTTATCCTTTGGTGGTTGGAAATTTGATGTTGTGCATACCTGTAGTCCCTGTTTAATTTTTTTTTCAGTTAGTGTCTGTCTGATTGTTAAATAAGAAAAGTGTGATCTAGGTGTTTTAGAAACAGTATTTAATCGTGTTATCAGTGTGCTACACGGGTGTCACCATATTTTTTTAGGGGGGGAGGACCTCCCAGCTGCGGATAAATCTAGCAGGAGGCACCCCCCCTTGAGATGCCAGTGATGTGTTAAATTGTAGTGTGTGATGAAATTTGTCTTCCGATTGTTCGATTCGGGTTTGACTTTTGCAGGCACTTGTTAACCGCAGCAGTGCCCAAGTTGGATCACTAGGCCGGGCTTGGTATTTTGGAAAGTCTGGTCAGATAATTTCTCTTCTCTAACTTCTCGTCACCCAAATCTGCTTCTGGGCTTGAACCCCGCAACACACCCTTATGCAGTGGAACTCGGCGGCCGTAAAGCCCCCTTGTCAGATAATGGCGATGGGACTTTACTTCTTAATCCTGCAAAATCCAGGATTGACCTTGCAAAAAATATGTCAAAATTACGCACTAAAACACGGTGACAGTCATTTTTTGTTTCACGATGCACTGCTTGGGTTCCAAATTGCGATTTTAAATGTTTATAATTGGATGAATTCAAATTCAAGAAGCTCAACACCAAAGATTTCAGAGAGCATCAATTAAATCAAAAACGCCTCAGTGCTGATCATTCCTCTCGGGAAAAAAATCCCCCCCCCCAAAAAAAAAAAAATTATCAAAATTTTCCCAAATGCTGGGAACTCACATTTGAAACGATTATGCGGCTAATGCTGGCAATAGCCCGCGTGCCTATGCAAGTCGTGGGTTGGTGGCTTTGGTCATGTCCCACGAACAACTGTATTACCATGGTCAGAGCCTGTTAAATCAGGTGTGGCCTTGTTTGGTTACATACACGCATGTTTTTAGCCAGGACATGTAAGCACAACCTGGCTGTGTGAACAGGTACGGCTTGACTCACCGCTGGCTGACGTTCAAGCACGCTTAATCCCCATTCTGTTTTGCACGCATAGCACAAAACAAAGAGAACGTAAAGAAATTTGCAGTTCGACATATATTCCATAGACATATGGAGATTGTATATTCAAAGAGACTAGCCTTTTCTGATACCAGTAATGAACAGTGATACAGTATGATTTCACGAATGCCAGTTCAGATATGCCGGCGTGGCATACATAGTGTGGACCTCTACACAAAAGAAGTCCACATAATGTAGGGTGCGACGGCATAGTGTGGACTCGCACACGTCCACACAATGTTTCCCCCTTTGTGAAAAACAGTTTCAGAGGCATTTTGGGGTCAAGGTTATCCGTGGCAAAATGAAGAGGAACAGTCCAGGAAATCATCATCAAAAATCCAGCCCGCAGGAGTTATCCTAATTGGAGAAAAAGGAGCATTTTCCTCAAGTTACGTTAACCACCGGAGAGCCGAGGAATGTCCACACTTTGTATGTAAAACAGGTGTGTTTCAGCAATGTTATGCATGGATAAAAAGTACTTAACTTTGAGATTAGAAATGAATGTGTTTACTTGCATTATTTTCCACCTCCATCTGCCATTTTCACTCATGAATTTATAGATGCTTCGATTTGATGACAGTCAAGATGACCCGGTCATTTTGATAGTGAGGATGTAAGAGGGAGCTTACTCTAAACTTGTGCAATTATGGGAATTGTGTTCCGGACTAGGGCTGTGCCGAGCATGCGAATAATCAATCGATTATCAAATATTCACATATTTGAATATTTTTTCTGAATTTGAATATTTAAATGCCAAATTCATAAAAAGGATGGGGAGAATTTTCTTTTGTTTGAAATGAGAAAAGTTGCACTATGGAGGCTTGTTCCAAGCAGATTCAAATGAAAAGCAACAGAAATGTTACGATTCAAAAAGTAAATTACTCATTAAGAAAATTTAAAATGGAACAGGAACTTTCAACAGGGCAAGAAGTATTGTTCGTCTCTTAAATTTTGCTAAATCGTGGCTGGAGATACTCCTAGATGTGGGAAGCTATTATAGTGATTATAATGTGCAATAGTGTGTGTTATTGCAACTGTTTTTGTATAGGTTTGTTCCATCAACAATCTGCCGGTTGATATGACTGAATATTTGGATATTCAATCGAATTAAATGTCGAATATTCGAGTAGTAAATTATTCAAATTGACTCGGCCCTATTCCGGACAAATGTAAATTGATATGTATATGGTTATTGGGGTGCCCTTTTAGCTAGATTTTGTGACATTTTGGGGAAAGATTTTATTGGCAGATGAAGTAAGTTTTAGTGGTGGGATAACTCCTGTGATTCCATGTTGCTCAGTTCTTCTTTCTTAGATTTCTTTGTCAACACTTTGACCGAAGGAGTTCTTTCTGAAGCTTTAATTCGCCCAGGGGAAAGCAGGGCCAATTGCTGTGAACTTTCGTTGTGTTTTGGGATTTTTTTGTTGGTTTGATGGCTGTATTTTGACCATGTAGATTGCAGTCTCGCCTTTAACGGACAGGAACTCGATCATTTTGGTCAGTGACAATATTTTTTCAGGTATTTAATGATGTTATCTGTGCCTATTCAATTCACACTTTTTTAATCTGTTTATTGCTGGTTTGCACTTCCCTTGACTTGAAACTAGCAAAATAATAATGTGATACATACAATCGAATGCTTCCTATAGAAAGACGAATAAAATAAATAAATTTTAATCATGATGATTGCCATGAACCTCGGATACTTCTGTACTGAACAAGAGATGTCTTACAGATCGGAGCATATTTACTCACTATCTGGAGATGTCAGGTTTGATCCTCAGCAGTTGAAAATGGGAAAAAAATTAATAAGTGTTACATCGTTTGCAGGATGTGATAGTGTAATCCGCTCCGAGCAGAAACAAAAGAAGGCGTGTTCTGAAATGAAATTGAGAGTCGTTTGATACTCGCGCACGGCATAGGCGTGCAAGTTTTTATGTGGAGCATACCGAGTACGCGCAATTTTAGTGTAGCATGTGTGGTCTTTGCATGCACGCCAGACGCGTGCTAGAACCCTGTTGGCAAACTTAGTCGTATCTGTCTTTCTTTCACCGGTGAGGGCGCACTTCAGCTCAGGGCAGATAGGTCAGTTGTGTATAGGACTCTTCTCTTAATGACCCTGGTACATGCAGCCCCAAGCTTGAACAACTTTTTCTCGAGACTTTGCTGCACTGGACAGCAAAGTCTCTCTTTTTCCCCCAGTTTTTATAAGTTTGGAGCACATGGCATGGAAAGTTACAAGTGCTCCAGTTCGTCTCATAAGAATCCGAATTTCATAGTGAGAGGCTCAAATTGAATGGATTTTTAAAAAAAGAAGTTTTCAAGTATTGTCTTTAAATATGAGAGGTATCTATGAGTGTTGGGCACATGACATACCTTTATTCAGAGAATCAGGTGGGTTAGGGAACTGAGTTTTCCAGGATTCAAATCCCAACAAGTTTTTGAGATTCATCTTTTCAAATCTGTATGATAAGTATATGGTCCAAGTGTGCGCTAGGAAGGAAAGTGAGGGGTCAAGTGGTTAGAATTCTCAACTTGGAACTAGAAATTCCGACTCCAAATCCCAGGTTATTTTTTTGATTTTTTTTTTGTCCTATTTGTTCGAATCTGTAAGATAAGTATATGGTCCGAGCACATAAAGGTAAGAAATTTG